CGATACTCATGTAAGGGGCCTGGGCAGCCTGGGGGGCCCGCCCGGGACCCTTACATGAGTATCGGCCGACGGTGAAGAGCGAGGAGGCGTACGGGCCCCTGCAGCGGAGGCCTGGCCCTAGCAGCGCAGGGCCCCAGCATTGCCGCACCATCGGCTTCGAGACAAGCTGAGGCCCCATCAGCGACGCTGCTCGTGACGTCACTTGCGGCCAGTCCCAGGTAAGATGAGCTAGGATGGAGGGAGGGGTATGCAGCCCTGACCAGCCTACCTTAGAACCCCTTGACAGCGGGTCACTAAGCCCTGTGGCGGTGCGGTGTTGGGGGGGGGGGCGGCCTAAAGCCGTGTAAGGGGCCCCAAAATTTCTGATGGCTGCCCTGCCTATACCTCCGACCCCCAGCATGATTCGAGCCCATACCGTCTTCATCTCCAGAATGATTTGAGCCTATACCCACTGCCCATCACCGTAATTTGAGCTTGCACCACCTTGCGTGTAGTGTTTTTTTTCCTAGTAAACACATAACACATAATACAATGTACATACAGCCTCTGTGCAGAGGTGGTGACTTTAGCTCCCTTAATGTTGTGTAAACCGTTGGGTTGGGTCAGTGTTGTGTAAGCATGTGAAATATTATTTAGACGTCCGATGTTGCAGTGATCCTCAAGGACCAGAAGAAACGTTTTCCGAAGGTTCCTGCCATGGAGAGTAAGCAATGCCTCTCCCTGCATTGGGGAGCACTTCCTCCCTAGTCCTGGTGGGTTGTTCAAGCATCTGTGGGGGGTTTTTCTACACAATATCAAACCAGCCAAGACCAGGACTATCGAACCAGCAATGTTTGACGCAGTAGACATCTCCAGCTATACTCTTCCACCATGAGATGCCCATGGACCTCCTTCAGAGGCCAAGGTCTCTGGCTCACCCTAGGTGACCTCCTTCAGGTCTCTGGCTCACCCTAGGTGACCTCCTCCAGGTCTCTGGCTCACCCTAGGTGACCTCCTCCAGGTCTCTGGCTCACCCTAGGTGACCTCCTTCAGGTCTCTGGCTCACCCTAGGTGACCTCCTCCATGTCTCTGGCTCACCCTACCTCACCGCTCATAGGGCCTATCTGCAGTTATTTAGGTTGTGTCTCGTTACCCATAGCAACCTGTCATTTACCTTACTGAACGATGTGGAAACGGTGTTACTATTATCTCCAGAGCAGTTGTTTATTCCGGCACGTTTGTTCTTCAGGCAGGAGATAACCGCTCAGCTCCTGTGGACTGGAGACGTCTTCTTATCCCCGGCATTTCTCCGAACTCGCCATGTAATGTAGAAATATTGTAGGGAGCTGGCGTGCTGATAAAGGTTACAGAGATTTCCCCCAGGGATCCAGACAAGACACGCTTGTGCCATTTGCTGAGAGTTTATGTTATGACGTCCATTAGTTGTCTGTTCACAGCGGCAAAAACATCACGAGACATGGAGCGTGTGTGACGGAGAACGGCGGCTCCTCCGGACATGCTGCAAAATGGAGAACAGCTTAAAAGTGACAGCTTCTCCATATTACACGCCGATGCCGGAGGAGGAAGGACAGAGTGTAATACCAAAGAGAAGTGTCTGGAAGTATTGTGTCCTGGGTGCAATTTCCCACCGTCCCATTGGTCTGCTGTGTCTGCCTGCTGCCAGGAGGCCACACAAGTTTCCAATGTGTCTGATGTTGTTTTGTATCTTCAAATTTAGCAGAATAATGGAAAATATCGCCTTCCATGTAAGTCTGTGCCAAGTGAAGAGACAAAAATCTCATTGGGGTGGGAGGTCGGGGTTTTCTCTACGGTGGATGTACGGCATCTTCCAGTAAATAACAGAATAATCTGGTTCCTCAATGCCCAGATACAATTGTGGTAAGATGTGACATGAGGGAAAAGAACTGGGGTGCTTAGTGGGTTCGAAACCATATCGGAATAACATGGTTCCTCCTGGTGGGGGTATGGTCGCAGTAAGCCCTCGTTCACACCTGAACGTTTTGTAGCGCGTTCTACGCTCGACGAACGCTCTACAAAACGCTCAAAAATATAAATCCCATTGTATTCAATGGTCTCGTTCCCACCTCGGCGTATTTCCGCCCGTCCCTAACGCGCTACAAAACGGCCCACGCCTGGAAAGGTCCAGGTACTACTTTGGGCCGTTTTGTTGCGCGTTTCCATTGGGATACAGCCAAGTAGCCTTCGGAAACGCGCGACGGTGGCGCGACTTTTTTACCGCGAATCGCGGTAAAAAACCGCGAGACGGTCGCGCGACAGACGCGCATATGCAATACGCCTAGGTGTGAACGAGACCTAAGATTATTACCAGAGGAATGAAGGAGGGGTGCAATGTGTTCCAATATATATGGGAATAATATGGCTCCTCCAGGTGGGAGCACAGTTACCAAAAGATGGTTTTTTGGATAAAGGCTTGCCGGAGGGGTCACTGTGGATCCAACATATATCAGAATAATGTGGTTCCTCTAGGTGAGGGGTACAGATAGTTTCTGGAAAAAACCAATGGTGTGTGTGTTGGGGGCAGTGGGTTCCACTATAAATATTGGAAAAATATGGTTCTTGGTGCAGGAAAAGTTGTAGTAAGATTCCCGGAGGAATGAAGGCGGACACAGTGGGTTCCAATATACTGTGTGTGTGTGTGTGTGTGTGTGTGTGTGTATAGATATATATATGTGTATAGATATATATATGTGTATATATATATAATATAAAAATATATATATATATATATAGTGCAATATAAATGGGTAA